ATGGAAAAATCACAATGAAAAATAATAGGCAAATGTATTTATATCACATGTCCTTTTTACATTTTAAGTCAATTTAATACCTGTGGTAGGATAATTTAGTTTGGTGAAAGAATTTTCAAATATATGAAGTAATGGCCTTAGAAGAATATTGAAGGAAGAATTGCTGTAGTTTTTTGTTGGATCCCAAGAACACCTAAGGCATCCTTCTTGCCCTCAAGTGGAGTAAAATCTCTTTGGAGAAAGGAGGCAAATGCAGAAAAGAAAGGCAAGATTGTTTATGGTGACAAAATATTGAGTGTAGGTGTTAAGATAAATTAAGGAAGGAGGAGCTCCTTCTAGGCTGGTACAATTTGAAAGGAGGTAGGGCTGGAGCTCAGCTTGAAGGGTGCGTGATTTATTTGGTATAGATTCTCCGGGAGAGCTTTCAGTGAAAGAGTAGGAGAATTTTGATGGTGGGAGCATAGACTGTGGGGTCACATAGCAGGGAGCCTCTGGCTGGTCAGTCCCTCCACACCCACCCCATATCCCCAGCCACTTTGTAGTCGGCAGCCAACTAACTTGTGTTTCTGTGTTTATCCTTTTTTTCCCTCCAGAAGTTTCCGGGATTTATTTGGCTTGTTGGCCTTTTTCATGCAGCACAGTGCGCTTCTTTCCCCACCTCATTTCCTTTGTAGAACAAGACACAGATTCCTCATGCCTTCCCTAGCCGGTGTTTCTGAAACACACATGCAAGTCAGGTTTTTTAAAAAAGGTTATTGTTGCAATAGGGAAATAAGAGTTGAAAAGAACAAAAAGAATCCCAAAAAATCGTTTTAAAATGGCTATGGGATGTTGCTCCTTGATACAAATGTTCTCATGACTGGTCTTCAAGATACTGTTGGAAGAGTCTCTTCTAATTCCTGTCTTAGTTCGCTGGTCTTTCCAGCCCGTAGCTGCAGCAGACCAAGACACGCTAACTGTAGTTGTCTGACTGTATAGTGCTTCCAGGTGCGCTGTGATTCTAAGTTCATTTCAGGACTACGTTCCTGATCTCTTCTGGTGTTTTCCCTTCCCTTTGTTGCCTAAGGCTGCACTCTTCTTCCCTTGTGTTCTTCAGCAGCTTGCCCCAGCATTCTTGGGTCCTGGAGCCTGAGTTGAGGCTGCCTGTAAGCCATAGTTGGCCTCCAAATAGTCTTCCTTTGAGCTTCATGCCTTTAAAACTGACCCAGGCCTGGCTTATCTCCTGCTTTGCAGGAAGATTTCTTTTGCCTTGTATTTCCAAGCACTATCTGGTTCAGGTCTTCCTAGCATCTATGAGACCTTGGTAATGAGAACCATCATCCCATTTATTTTATTTTGCAACCTTTTATAGCATTTGAATGTCTCAGGCACATTCTGAATGCTTTCAAAAATTAGCTCATTGGATGTCGGGCAGCGGGGAGGGGAGGGGGGGAGGAGGGGACAGGTATTTGCATACACAAAGAGTGCAATGCGCACCATCCAAGGGATGGACATGCTTGAAACTTGGACTTGGGGGGGAGGGGGGAGGCAAGGGCAATATACGTAACCTAAAAATCTGTACCCCCATAATATCCTGAAATAAAAAAAAAAAAAGAAATTGGCTCATTTAATCCCAGAGGAGGATTGTTGACATTATATCTATTCCCACTGATTTAAACCCCTGACAGACTTTCATTTATTATGCTTCAAAGACTTTTGCTCCCAATAGGTATTTTAGTAGATTCCTGTTTAGATTTGGGCTACCTCTAATTATTGGATTTTTGGAAAAGCAGAGTTTATGCTCTTAGTCTTTGCTCAGGTTACTGGCTTTACCCACTTTTTTGACCAGTTCCTGTGTCAGAATCTAATGCCCATAAAATATACCAATCCACTAAGAGAAAAAAAACAACAGCTTTCTTTTAACTAAATAAGGCTTTTATGAAACCAGGAATCTATTTTTCATTATTTTAAGTGGAAAAAACAATTAAATTATAGTTTAACCAAAAGCTCTAACCAATTTTACTGAAATGTAACTAAATATGGTAAAATGCCCATATGTAAATCACAATCACACATTAAGATATAAATTGTTTAAAATTATCTTCCTGGTTAAAAATGATTTTTAATGAACAGTTGCTATGTATGGTAGCAATATATACATGTTGGTACCAGCAATATCTGAGCAGCATGTCTCCTTTGTTGACATTTGGACACTTTATTTATTTATTTATTTTTTATTTTATTTTTTGGGGGACAGAGTCTCACTCTGTTGCCCAGGCTAGAGTGCTGTGGCATCAGCCTAGCTCACAGCAACCTCAAACTCCTGGGCTCAAGCAATCCTCCTGCCTCAGCCTCCCGATTAGCTGGGACTACAGGCATGTACCACAATGCCCGGCTAATTTTTCTCTATATATTTTTAGTTGTCCAGCTAATTTCTTTCTATTTTTTTTAGTAGAGACGGGATCTCACTCTTGCTCAGGCTGGTCTTGAACTCCTGAGCTCAAATGATCCACCCACCTGAGCCTCCCAAGAATGCTAGGATTACAGGCATGAGGCACGGCGCCTGGCCAATTTGGATATTTTAAAAACATCAACCTGTGACTCTGATGGTCTAACAGTTTTATTTGGAATATGACCCAAGTCTTTTCTCATACATCATTTTGTTTGGAAATGTATACAGAAATTTTCTTATATAAACATGACACTCTCCCGCTATCCATCCCAACAAACTTTCATTGAGATATATGTACATTCTCTGCTGTCTGGATACTAAAAGCCAAAAGGCGTTCTACCAGAAGCATGTTAACCCAGGAGATATTCTGTGGAATATGCTTTATTAAGTGACTATTGCAAAATTAAAGCATAATTTAAAAGTCTAAGAAGATAATTTTTAAAAGCTAAATGTCAGTAGATTTTACATGTGATTTGAATATGTGCATTCCCAAATGTGTTTTAAGAAAGTCAACTCTTCTTCTCTTTTTGAACAGCTCAAATCATTTATTATTAAATCAAACTGACCACCCTCAGGCCTTTAGGACTGCTGGGGTGCTGGGACCCTTAGAGGGCATTCTGCTCGATACGGGCCACCTTGGCCTTGATGTTCATGTGTTTCCACATTTCAGCTGTGGTGCAGTCTGCTTTGGTGACTCCAGTGAAGTCGAAGGTGGTGATACGGGGCAGGGTGCAGAGCACACATTGCCTATACCCCTTCTCTTCCTCTGTGGGTTCCCCATGGAGTGTTAGGCTCTGGAGCTGAGGGAAGACAGCCTTCCCCTGGCACCGGATGCTGTTGCCATGAAGATAGAGGATAAGGCCGTGCGCGGTGGCTCACGCCTATAATCCTAGCACTCTGGGAAGCCGAGGCGGGTGGATCACTCAAGATCAGGCGTTTGAGACCAGCCTGAGCAAGAGCGAGACCCCGTCTCTACTAAAAATAGAAAGAAATTATCTGGACAACTAAAATATATATAGAAAAAATTAGCTGGGCATGGTGGCGCATGCCTGTAGTCTCAGCTACTCGGGAGGCTGAGGCAGGAGGATCGCTTGAGCCCAGGAGTTTGAGGTTGCTGTGAGCTAGGCTGACGCCATGGCACTCTAGCCAGGGCAACAGAGCCAGACTCTGTCTCAAAAAAAAAAAAAAAAAAAAAAAGATAGAGGATACTCAGGTTGAAGAAAGTTGTAGGACAGGGTCAGTGAAAGTCAGATCATTAAAGGACAGGTCAGTGTTTCATTCAATTTTTTTTTTAGTTTTAAAATTTTTATGATGCTGTGTTCTCTTCTTCTGGTCTATTGAATTATATGTTTAAGTTTAAAAGCACTTCTAAGTACATTACCTTGCTTTTCTAATCTGCTAGTCATTTTTTATAGACCCAGTTTCCTAAGGGTATTTTAATTTTGTAATCATAGTAAGCATGGTTGTTTTTTATCCTGACTAATAGATAATTGGAATACTTAAAACATTTGTGGATCTGTTTTCTGCTGATTCTTACTCTTGGTGGCGTGTTTTCTTGTGTATTTAGTGTGTGTGAGATTTTTTTTTATTTGTTTCTATTTTTGTTTTAATTTTTTCTTCCATGATCTGTTCATTATCCTTAAAAATTATTTATAGAGATTATTTGATACCTAGAATGAAAGTGTCTTCTCCAGAGAGGACTTGTGTTTGTTTTTGCCAGATACCTGTAGATGTTATCAACCTGAAAACACCTGCCAAGATCAAAGCTTAGGGGCCCAGGATAACTCAGGTTAGGGGAACCAAGGCTGCAAATCCATGAAGGCTGCCTTGTGGCCAGTTTTTCAGAAACAGGTTTGTTTTCTCTCCCTTTTTGCCTGTTCTGCTCAATGACCAAGGCCAACCACCCTACAGTCCCAAGGAGCAAGGAGGGGTTACTTCTGGTTCATCTTTTTTTTCCCAGAGAGTGAGGATCCCAGCTTACTATGGGAGGGTATGCGACTTGGTGTTCTGTTGCCTCAATTTCTTTTTTGGTTTTCGCTAGATTTTGCTCTGGTTGTTTCTTACCATTTTGTGACTCTTGTCTTTAAGATTTCCTTTTTTTCTTATTTTATTCAATATTTTTAGTTATTTTCAATAGGAAGATCGGTACAAATAATCTAGCCCACTGTTTTTAGAAGTGGAAATCTTCCTTATTTGCTCTTTAACAATCCTGTGAGGTTCCTGTGGCAGATATATGTATATATATATGACTGGGCTGCTTTAGTGGATGAGAGAACTGAGGCTGAGAGAGGTGTAGTGACTGATTTAACATCATACAAGTAAGCGGCACAGCCTGGAACTCCTGAGTACGAGTCTTTGTCTTTCCACCCCAACACTGCCTTTAAGCCTTCTTCTACTGAGTGTATTCAAATTTTGAATCAAGGTGGCATATGTTGAGGAGTTTTTTAAAAAAATATGTAATACCTTTACAAAATTATTTAGACCATTGACTGATGTAGATTATATTGGTGCAACTCTTTTCAGATCTGGCACTTTAAGTGGAAAATAATTGCAATTTTTTTTCTTTCAGCTGAAGTGAGTAGTGAATATAGTATGGACAAGGCGATGATTGAATTTGCTATAATGGATCGGCAGCTAAACCATTATGTAAAAGCTGTTCAATCTGCAATAAATCATGTAAGTTTATACCACTCACCTGGTTATGTTTGGTTATAGTTCATTGACCTAGAAATAGAAACAGAAAATCAAAATTCTTCTCTAACCTTTAATATTTCCTTATCTTTAGTGCAGCAGCTATTATTAATTTCCTCTTAATTAGGAAGTCTCATAAAATAGGAATCTTAAATATTTTCCTGGCTAGGCCCACCTAGATTAATTAGCGTATTAAATCTATTTTTGATTGTCTTGTATTTTTTTGTCTGAAAATTTTTAGCGTAAGCCTCCTTTGGATACAAGTAGATTATTATAAAATGCTAAAAATTGCATGCAGCTTGTTTTTGTTATATTTGTTTAATCATACAATTGAGACCAGATTTAGTTACTCATTCTCTAGCTTTAACTAATATGCATCTATTGCAAAATTCTTAGAATCAGATAATATGGAAGAATTTTAGAGCAAGTTTAAAAATAAAGAAGGTTGGCATTTTGGTTTTTCCAGAAGCCAAACTTATCTTTGTTGACTCCAGCTGTCACAGGAACAACACATAGGCAGTTACGGTGGGAACCTAGCAACATCCTTTTCAGTAGTACTGTGTTGAGTAAGAAATGAGCAATACGATTGCAGTAATATTTCTGAGAAGTCCTTTGTCCTCTCAGCAGTGGAAACTCCCTGTTGAATTGATTTCATATACCTGTGTAGTAGGGTGTCTTGTACTTCTGGTTTCTTTATTTGCCTTTTCTTATTTACAGCTACGGGAAAATTCAGAAAATCAAATATTTTATAAGATCAGCTACTATTCAGTGGAAGATAAATTTTTTAAACATTGTTTAATAATTAAGCCAATGAAATGAACGTTATATGGTTATATTAAATTTTCTGGTTTTTTTAATGATTAATATTTATTAAATGTAGTGTTTATAACTAACTTTAAGGATATCTGCTTATATCCAATAATAAACTCATTTAGTTTGTAAAATTCTGATGTTTCTGGCTATTGTGACTGTTAGTTATGGTCCTGTGAATATTTCTTCTATAGGAAAATATGAAAATGCCATCATGTTGACATCATATTTGAAACTGGATAACAAATACTTAGACTAGAGGCTTTCAGTTCTTACTGAACCCTAGAACCAACCAGTTCCTACTCCCAGAGATTCTGATTTCATTGGTCTGGAGCAAGATTGGAGCCCCAGTATTTTTTAGAAAGTCATTCTAACATGTATCCAAGGTTGAAAACCACTGACTTAAAAGAACAACACTGACTTTATAAAGTCAAGTGTTTTTGCTCCCAAAGATCAGAATTAGGCCTATTACAGGGATCTATCTTGCTTTAATGCTTACATGGATTGTCTGTGGAGCTTATTTGATAGACCTTTCTATCTTTAACTTCATATGTAACAGCACAGTGTATATTATAGGTAAGAAAACAAGATTTTGGAGTCAAGAACTTAATGTTGATTTTTTTTCTATTAAACTTGAGGATTCACACATACTTAAGGTATTTTTACATCAAGAATTAAACTGTCTCCATTTTCAAGAAACTGACTCACTTATTAAAGAAAAAATTTAAACACAAAAAATTCCCACCCTTACCCACATTCAATAGTTAACATTTCTTAAATCTTGAGATCTCATCCCATAACCCTCACCCAACTGAACAGGGAAGATTATGCTTTGGGTTTTATCCCACTTTTCATCCTGAACCTCACGCTATACTAGAGTGTTGGACAACTTGGTTTTAGTGGTTCTGATACCGATTTGGAAGGTTCCTGGTGTTTTATAGGAGAAGAAAACATGTTTATTTTCCTTCTGTGATGGAAATTTATGCTCTATTCAAGCTTGATAAGGTTTCTAAGACCCAAAATTATAAGGGACATAATGGGGATATGACCATTATTTTGAAGGAAATGTTGTAGACCACTTTACATACTCGAAGTTATGGACATGGCTGTCTTATTGCTTGTTTTGGTGAGGGATAAAGAATGCAACTTAGGAGAGGCCATTTCTTTAGAAATAGCAATGGTCTAGGGATCAAAAATGATTCCAAAAAAAGAAAAAGGAAAAAGGAAGGAAGGAAGAAAGGAAAAAGAAAGAGAGAGACAGAAAGAAAGGAAAGGAAAGGAGTGGAGAGGAGGAGAGAGGGGGAGAGGAGAGGAGATGAGAGAAGGAAGAAAGGAAGAAAGGAAGGAAGGAAAGGAGGAAGGGAAAGAAAAGAAAGAAACCCTTCCAGCTCTAGTTTTCCCACATTCTAGGTTATGGTCCTTGGTCAGGGAACTAAGAAACTTAACTTCTTGGAACCTCATGTTCTTCATCTATAAGATTCTTGGCCTGCCTATTTCACAAGATTATTCTGTCAACCAGATTAGATAATGTATATCAAAACACTTTGGTATTCATAGAATTTGATGGAGCTATAAGATAGTATATTATTGTAAACCCAGATTTCCAAACAGAATTCCTTACAAAGATGGAACAAAATCTTTCTTAAAAGCAAGTACTTTGTTTTGGTCACTTTATTTCAGGGTACTTTGACTTTGACTTGCCCTACACTGGAATTCAAGAATCATCTAGGATTAGGTATAAGCTACTTAAGTTACAATATGAGATGTTCATGGTCTCCAAAACAAAGAAATTGCTTTAAATCAGATTATTGAGGAAAAAAAGCAGATAATGGGACTCCATAGAAATCCCATGTAACCCTTTGCTCTTTCATACACCTCAAGGGTTGCTGTGCTTCCATTACTATATCATTTGCCTAGATTCCAATCTACCCTGTGGTCTTTCTGTTTATGAATTTTTACATAGTCATAGAAAGTAAAAAAAAAAAAAAACTTTTTAATCATTAAAGAGCATTTGAGTTTATTATTTAAATAGACATCTCTCTCCCACTCTCACCTTCACAAAATTCTGAAGGTGATGTACCTCTGAAAAGGTTTTGAAAGTTTACTTTGAAACTTTAGAGGTATGCATTAATTTACCAACAACAATCCGTGGGAAGTCCCTTTGGCAATTAATAGAAGCTCTCAGATTGCCTTTCTTTGTCCTTTGAGAAAATAAGGCTACTTTATTCTACAGTGCCTGAAGATTTTATTTGGAATCAGTGTTTATTTCAGTGCTCTGAAACTTAAAAAAAAAGGCTAGTTTGTAGAGGGAATATTATGCAGGGAGCGCTTTAAAAAGTCCCCAATAGTCTCTAAGTCGTTTATAAAAACGTTCAGTATAAATGGATTATATACCTGTCACAACTCTTTAAAAACTTTGCGTGGCTCTTCAAAGAGTTGTATGTGCACTCTTTGGAGACTTTTAGTCATGATACCACACATGTGATGAAAGTGTTTTGAAAGCTCTGATGATACACAGATAAATAGTACAGTTACTTCTTTTACCACTATTACTGCCAGGGAAAACCTGTTTTCTAGTGTCATGCTGAGAACAGAATGATGTTCTGAACTTTAGACTTCTGATGACCTAATATTCCTTCCCTTGTTTTCTAAGCTTTTATTATTTGAGTACATTGAAGGGACACTATTGGCTGCCCTTTTGTTCTCAAATGTTCATAAAGAAGTGAATAAATGTATGAACATTTGAATAAACATTTATATTTGAATAAACATTCGAATAGATACTTACTAAACACCAATGTGCCAGGCACTTTTGGGTGCAAAAATGTAGAAAGTCAATCAGCAAGGCTCCTATTACCTTCACCTTCGGGATGTCTGAAGTCTAGAACAGGAAACAAACATTTAAAAAAGAACAATACAAATGTTATTTAATTATTGTTGTAGCATAAAGGGGAAAAAAAAGCATTCAGGGAGGGTTAATATAATAACTCAGAGGACAATGATATCTTGGGGTGGGGGTTGGGAAACCCCTTCCTGAGGGAAGTGATATTTAAGGTGAAAGTCAAATGAGCATCAACATGGGGAATATGATAGGTAACTTCTCTGTTTAAGTGACTTTTGCATGAAGTGGAAGCATCTTATTTCTGATTGTCTTGATGTCAGAGTTTCGGAATGTCTTGATCCAAAGACTTAATTTGAAAACTTAGGCCAGAGAAGGCCTACCATTATAAATGGAAAGTTAAAGTTCATGGAGTAATTGAGTAACCTACCTTATGTTGGTCAATGATTCATTCATTAACAGATTTTTGAGAGCCTACTATGTGCTTAGTAATGCAAGTAACGACAGTGGTTTATTTAAGAATGATTTCATTGCTGATATTCTACTTCTTAAACAGAGGTCACCCCTCTTGAAATGAGACTTTTTATTGTGTAGTAAATAAACCCAATGGTAGTATGATGTGTTTTGATTCTGTGTTTATGATTGTTTTAAACTAAACCTGTAGTCCCATTCTGTGGGATTCAGATACCTGAGGGGTAGGCTTGTAGGGTGGGCACTGATTTAGTTCAAGGAATCCTCAAATCCATTTTTAGATGTTTTTGTCCCCAAATAAGAGATGATAAAAAGTCCAGCCACTATCATGAGAGTAGTCCTTGCAATTTTTTTTATAACCTTAATTCTCACAGGGAAAAAGGATAGGAACCCTGAAGCTAAATGATAGGGGCCTAACAGCTCCAGATTAGTGTCATATATTTTTCGCAATCGGTGATAAAATATACATCCTCTTGTGATTGTGGTGAGCAGTACAGTCCTAGAGTTTAGCAAAAGTAACTAGAGCTTGAGATTTACACCATACTTTGGCATGTGTGTTTTTTTTTATCATGATCCTTAATTGTGTAGTTTCACAAACTTTAAATCTTAAAAGAATTGTAAGACTTTACTTGTATATTGTTCTTTTAGTATATGCTGCTTCAGCTTGTTAATTTATTGGAAAATCCAGAGCATGTATGTTTTTTTTTTTAGCTTCCTCTAATATTCTTTCTTATGCTACTTGCATTTTATAGATTATGTGAGATTTTAAAGCATTTATTTTGTATTCCAGCCACATATTTGCTTTTGTTTTTTACGTAAGTGTTTTATAATAATTCCTACCAAAAGCCTGATGAGGGAGAATATT